TCCTTCTAGTTGCTGTATGTGGGACGCGGCCTCAGCATGGCTGGAGAAGCGGTGCGTCGGTGCGCGCCCGGGATCTGAACCCGGGCCGCCAGTAGTGGAGTGCGCGCACTTAACCGTTAAGCCACGGGGCCGGCCCCTGGAGGGCTTGTTAAAACACAGATTCCTGGGCCCACCCCAGGGATTTGGATTCAGCAGGTCTGGAGTGGGGCCTGAGAATTTGCGTTTCTAATGAGTTCCCAGGTGATGCTGATGCTGAAGCTGCTGGTCCATGGACCACACTTTGGGTGATGCTGCTCCAGACACCTGGCCTCCTTCTATTCCTCAAGGGAGCTACTCAGAGCCTCTACCTCCACCTGGAATGGACCCCTTCTCGGCCCAGCTAACCCCTCCCATCTTTCAGAGCTCAGCACAGTTCCTTTAGACAGGGTCAAATAGGCCCATCAACACACTCACATTGACCCCAGGTGAGACAATACAGGCTGGGGGGTAACTTGTGCCTGTCTCCCTGCTGGACTAAACTCCTGGACGTTGGGCCCTTGCTCACTGTGGTGAGCCTAACACGCTGTGGGTCTGCAGGAAATGTTTCTTCAGTGATGAATGGCTCCTCTTCCTAAGCCTAGGAGCACATTCCCTTCCATTTCAGGTGAGGCACAGCAGCCAAGAACCTAGAGACAGGTGCACTTTGCAGTCACAGGCCAAATGCACCAAACTGGGATAACATGGGGGCCACGGCAGATTTCCCAGGGGGAAGATGATTCTCCTGTCCTTGGGCTTGCCCCTCAAGCTTGGGGTGTGTGTACATGTGTGTGAGGAGGTGGTGATGGGGTGGTCTCCCCCCGGCCCCACCCCTGCCCCACGCACTCTCTCATTGTCTTTGTCTTTGTCTCCCCCTGATGGTCATTGCTTTCCAAGTTCCAAATCTCACCCACTCATGAGACTCATTGACTTTTTTTGATTTGTTCATCTCCTTATTCATCTAATGGAAGGATTCAAGCAGAGAAATGACATGATTCTACTTGCACTAAACAACCAACCAACCAAACCTCACTCTGGCTGCTGTGGTTTCTTGTTTTCTCCTGGCTCTGCCCCGAGTCTCTTCCCCATCTCTTGGCTCGTTCTGGGTCTTCCCGCCTTACCATCTGCTGGAGATGAGCAGCTGAGGCTTCTCCTTCTCCACGGCCCTCAGCATCTCTGTCACCTCCTCACTCAGCTGGGTCTGGTCCAGCCTGCAAGCACAAAGGAAGTCTGGTTCTCCTGAGATCGCCACAGGATCCTGAGGTCATCAGGGCCCAGAAGCGGGGAATCTGCCACCTCCCTCAGGAAACTGTCATAGGTTGGGTTCCCTGGGAATCAGGCTCTGAGATGGAAAGTAGAGTGAGGAGGTTTATTAGGGAGTGTCTTGGGTCAACATACAGGGTGAGGGATGGGAGGGAAGCAGGACTGCGCAGAGGGAGAAGTTGGGCTGTGATCAGTCTCAATGGAGACCTCAGCCGACTCTGCGGGGGGTTCTGAAGTTGGGATGACCCTTCAGATCTGTCCCAAGTTGGGATAGGGGGCTGTGTCTTTATACTCCATCACTGGTCAGTTATTGGATGTCAGCCACCCCAGGAGGAGGATGCGACCTTGGGTGAGATGGCCCTCATTGGCAGGAATGCCTGTAGTTGGCTGCCAGCAGCATTCCCAGTGGCTAGGGGTTACGACTTCATTCCTGAAGGGCATGGGGGCAGCTCTTCACAGCGTCCACCACAGAACAGCCGTTCCCCAAGGCCTCAAAATGACCATCTAGGGGTAGGTCCTGCGATTTCCTTCCCAGAGGATAGAAATTTGTTGGAATGAGGGCTCCCTGTTTCCATTCTCACAGGCCTTGCGTTCTGGGGTTTCTGTTGGATTTGGGATAGCTGTTGCCCTCTCTGGGCCTCTGTGTCCTCATCTCTAACACTGATGGACCTGTTCTGTCTGTTGTGAGCCATGGACAAGGCAGGTGAAAAGACCCTGCACCCTACAAAGGGCGGTGCACACCTCACTCATTACTGCTATCAGAGCTATTCCCCGCCCTGGGGAGAGGATGGAGCCCACGGTGTGAAAGGTTGTCCCTCTCAACCAAGTCCCGGGGCTCCAGGAAGGAAGGAGGCAGAAACCTTCACAGGAGCAAGCTCCTCTGAGGCAACCAAGATTTGACCAGTTACTGGTCAGCTGGGGCATGAATCTAGATCTGCCTGCAGAGGCCAAGCTCTGGATAGGTCCTTCAACATGTAGGAGATGGCAAGAGCCAAAAATGCTCAGTGGGGAGTGGGCTGGGGAGTGAAGGTGCCGTCCTCTGGGGAGGGAGTTCCCCGGTTGTACAGGGTCCGAGTCAGCATTGCGGGAATCCACAGGCAGACTGGTTAACCCCTGTTACCCTGCTCTGAGTACTCCTTCAGGTTTGAGGGTTGACGAGGGAGGCCTGGCTGAGGACAGCCAGGGCCCGGGACTTGCAGACTGGAACCTCAGTGCAAGACCAGAGGGGTTGGGACACGGAGAGTCTGGAGCCCCTGTCAGCTCTCTGAGTGGGTGACAGGGCCCCAGCCAGGAGCCGCACAGAGTGTTAAGCCAGAAACAGCCTGTAGACTTGTTTTCAGGGTGTGAAGGAAAGAGGAAGTGGCTGAGAGATGGCGTGGGGAGTGGCTGCTCAGAGAAGGACATGACTCTCGGGGCCTGCAGGGTGGGAGATGAGGGCTGGGGCTCCCTGCACTCCTGCCACATCGGTTTCCCATGCTCTGAGCCTGTTTCTGTCCTGGGGCCTCCCCCATGCATTCCCTTCACCCAGACTGCCCCCTCTGACTGGGTCTGGTCAACTACTTCCGTCTCAGGTCTCGGCCTGACATCACTTCCTCAGAGAAGCCCTCGCTGGCCCCTCCATATAATTCCGTGCTCCGCCCATGTTACACTCACATGACACACTGCACTTTCCCTCACAGCACTCCGTGGAGCTTAGAAACACGTATCTGCGTGTTAGTATGTGATGAAAGTCTATCTCGTTCCTTCAGGAGGGCAGGGCCCTCATCTGTGTGCTCACTATTGCATCCTCAGGGCCCGGCCCAGTGCTTGTATAGGAGGCATGCCATAAAGGAATGAATGAAGGAATGAAGAAATGAAGGAAGGGAGGAAGCACTGCCCTGAGGTGGAGAAGTGAACCTGAGAGTCCCCTTAGAACATGCAGCCTCACTAAGTGGTATCACCTGATGCTGCTCAGCTCTCTTCCCAGCACTGTCCTAGCTTTTACATGCATTTATTTCATTACAGTCTATAGGGTGGATATGATAGTCCTGTTATACAGATGAAGAAACCGAGTCTCAGATGAAGACCTGCCCGAGTCACACGGCCTGAGTAAGTGGTGGAGCTGGTAAGGAACCCAGGCTGACCAACCGTGCATTTATTTGTCCCTTTTCCTTGCCCTGCCCAATTCCACGGCACCTGCATCCCTTGCCACCTCCTCCCTGCCCTTCCCTGCCCTCTGCCCAGAAGGCACCCACAGGGCCTTACCACAGGAGCGTGAGTTGGCAGGTAGGATGCCTGAGCCCTTCACAGAGCAGCTTCACGCCGAGGTCGCACAGCTCGTTCTGCTGCAGGTCCAGCTCTGTCAGGCTGGAGCCAGCACTGAGCACAGAGGCCAGTTCCTGGCAGCAGCCGCACGTGAGGTCACAGCTGACCAGCCTGCAGGAGAGACGCACACAGGCCCACAGTCATTGTCCTGAGGGCCCTCTCCTTGGGGTAGCTGGAGTCTGGCTTCCTTTTTTAGTACCTCTGGCCCTTTGAGGGTCCTTGGTGACATTAAAGGAAGATAAAGACATGTCTGGCTTGCAGTAACCTGGGAGACTTTAATCTCCTGCAGCCAAGGAGCCACTCGGGATGCAGGCAACCTCCCTTCCTCACTCCTGCGTGATTCCCACGAATCCTGCCCACTCACCAGATCACCTTGTGTGAGTAATTTCCCCAACGTTCCCCTTGCCTAAGCGTTAACTACATCGCCCTGCCAAATGCCCAGAGTTAGCTGACGTGGGATGCTTTGGTGGGTTTCAACATTAAGGGCTTCTACCATACAGGAGAAAAGAGAGTGAGCTTCTAGTATGAGAGCAAGAGTTAGGAGGAGGATGATGGCTTTAGTCGGAATTGAGGGCCTATCCTAGCCGCCCCCTGAGCTCTCACCTTCTCTCTGCCCCATGGTGGAAAGGCAGCTCCCTCCACCTCCCTGTGCCCACCCCTCAAAGCAGTGTTGGTGAGGAGCAATTACAGCAGTCGCTGGAGCTTGCAGCCTGGCTGTCTCAGCCCCTGGCAGAGGTGCTCGGCTCCAGCGTCCTTGAGCACGTTGAAGCTCAGCTCCAGCTCGGTCAGGGTCTGGCTGGCGCTCAGCCCAGAGGCGAGGTCCTTGCACTCGTCAGCTGTGAGGCCGCAGCTGGCCAACCTGTGGGAGACACACACTGGTGGCCTTGAGTTGACTCACCTGTTGATTCCACAAACACCCACAAACACCCATTGAGCACCTACTCTGGGCCAGGTCTGGGGGCCAGGCAGAGGTCAGCAAGATCCCCCGGCCCTCAGAAATGCATAGATACTGGGGGATAGACATAGAAACAAATAACAGTAAGTCAGTTTTTGGCTGTCTTTTGATCAAAACCCTCCCATGTCTTCCAATGTCATCAGAATTAAAATCAAGGTCTTTGTCCTTGTCTATGGGACACTGGAGATCTGACTCCTTGTCATCTCTGTCCTCATCTCATATCCCTTTTAACTGCATCCTCATTGTTCCTTAAACAGTCCAGGCACAGTCCAACCTCAGGGCCTTTGCACCTGCTGTTTCTTCTGCTTAGAACAATTTTCTCATCTGATATCTCATAGCTTGTTCTCTCACCTGCTTCAAGTCTTTGCTCAAAAGTCACCTTGGTGAAGTCTTGTTTCACTACTCTTCCTGTTTAAAATTGCATACCCAGCCCCACCCCCTACTCCTTTCTGCTTTACTTTTCTCTATAACCCAAACCACATATAATATATTTTACTTATTGATTTGGCTTTTTGTCCCTCCCTGCTCCAGAATGTAAGCTTCATGAAGGGAGGGGTTTTGTCTGTTTTCATTATTAGTTGTAGCCCAGTGCCTGGGGCAGTGTCTGGCACATAGTAGGCATTTAATAAGTGTGTGGTGAATGAATGAATGAAATAGTGTCAAGAGGGGCAAGTCAGGTGCTGCTGAAGGCAGAGGAATGAGCGACTAATTTTGAGAAGGGAAAGAGGAGAAGACGTATAAGGGGTCCTTGAATGATGAGTAGTCCACCAAGATGAGGGTGGAGGGAGGGGACACTCCCGGCTGGCAGAGTGGATGTGAAATTACAGCACGTGTTTAGTTTAGTGACGTTGGCATAAAGGTTACGTGAGGGGAGATGAGGTTTGAGGGTAAAGCTAGAAAATATCAAGATAGTGGTAGGTCTTCAATGTCATTATTAGATGTATGGACCTTGTTCAGGCGGCAGTGAAGAGCCAGGGAAAGTTCTTGAGGAGGGTAGTGGTGTGTTCTTTGCATTGCTTTGGAAAGATCCCTGACAGCGAGTGGAGGGTGGTTGGAAGGGGCGAGGCAGGTGCAGAGGGGCGAGGATGAGCACCAGGCTCAGAGCCGTGGCTGCGGGAGATGTTTCTGGTGTACCCAACAGCACTTGGTGTCTCTCTAGATGTGGGGGCCAGGGAGCCTTCTAGATCAGATACAGAGTTGATGCTGCTGCCACTTACTGAGAGTCAATGTGAGAGGAGGCAGAGTCAGCTTCATGGACGTACAACCAGCACATGCCCCGTGGTTGGGGTTTAGTGCTCTGTGGTTGCCATCTTGAATTTCTTAATAATTTCGTCTTTGAATTTGTGTTTTGTAAGTGAAGTCTGATGGGACAGTGGAGCCTCGGCTCATGTGTGTCCCCATCTCCTGCCACCTCCCTCCCTCTGCCTGAAGAGTTCTTGGCTACCCACTTCCCTGCCCCCTGATATGGTGGGACCCACGCCAGCCTCCCCCTCTGCCCATTGACCGTCGTCCCCATGGGGGCCCAGATCAGGCATGGTGAGGATCTGACCTTTCATCACATCCCTCTGGTTAACCCCAAACTCTGCCATTCACCTGCTCCCCCATGCTCATTCCCACCTGAGTAACAGGGCTGATGGCTGACATCAAGAATCACGACCACGACCCTCACGTGGGCCTCAACAATGCCTGGCAGGCAGAAATCTCCCACGCTACTATGGCCACTTCAAGACTTTACCTTCCCCAAACCTCTATCACCCCAGCCCTCACACTCTCAGCAGACAACTCAATTCCTACTTCACAGAGAAAAATGAAGCCATCAGATGGGAACTCATCAGCTTCCCACAGTCAAACCTATGTGCCTATATATCTACCTCCCTCACCCCATCTTCACCTGCCCTTTTGTTACAGCAGAGGAGGTGTTCCCCCTCTCCTCCCAGGCCAGTCTTTCTCCTATCTCCTCCCTCTGAGGAAAGGGAGACCATCAATTACTCTTCCTTTTTGTATCTTTCATCATCTATTCTCTGCTGATATTCAGATACTCAGGTCTTTTCCTTCTTAAATGCAAGAAAGCAGACACACACACACACAAGTGTGTGCGCACATGCACACACACACACACACACACACACACACCCCTCTAGTTTGGTCTCACATTCCCCAAAGCCTTTGAAAAAAGTGCTTGTATTTGTGTTCTCATTTTTCACTTCTCTCTCCCTCTTCAATTCATTCCAATCAGGACTCTGGCCCCCTCACATCACAAAAGCTGTTTCTACTGAGGTCATCCATGACTTTCCTATCACTATTTAGACAGACAACTTTCAGTCCTTATTTTACTTGACCTCCCAGCAGCAATGGCCCCTGTGACCACAGCCTCCTTGAAATCCTCTGCTCACTTGGATTCTATGAAACCACACTCTCCTGGTGTTCTTCCCACCTCCCTGGCTGCTCCTTCTCAGGCATCTTTGTTGACTACTCTTTTCTGGTCATTAAACATTGGGGGGTTCCCCAAGGCTTGACGTGCAATCTTATCTTTGCATATAAGTTTTAGGATCAGCTTGACCATTTCTGCAAAAAACGTAGCTGGGATTTTGATAGGGATTGAGTTGAATCTATAGACCAATTTGGGGAGTATTGCTATCTTAACAATATTGTTTTCCAGTCCATGAACATGGGATATCTTTCCATTTATTTAGGTCTTATGTAATTTCTTCAACCATGTTTTGTAGATTTCTGTGTACAAGTCTTGCTCTTCTTTTGTTGAATTTATTCCTAAGTATTTTATTCTTTTTGATGCTAAGTGTAAATAGAGTTGTTTTCTTAATTTCATTTTTGGATTGTTCATTGTTAGTGTATAGAAGTACGATTGATTTTCACGTATTGACCTTGTATCCTGAAACCTTGCTGAATTTGTTTATTAATTCTAATAGGTATCTTTGTGAACTCTTTAAGATTTTCTACATACAAGATCATGTCAGCTTAAAACATATTTTACTTCTTCCTTTATATTCCGGAGGCCTTTTATTTCGTTCTCTTGCCTAATTGCCCTAGTTAGAACCTTTAGGACAATGTTGAATAGAAGTGATAGGAGTGGACATCTTTGTCTTGTTCCTGACCTTAGCATAAAACATTCAATCTTTCACCATTAAGTATGATGTTAGCTGTGGGTTTTTCATAGGTGCTCTTTATCAGGCTGAGAAAGTTCCCTTCTATTCCTAGTTTGTTGAATTTTTTTTTTTTCTGCTGAGGAAGATCGGCCCTGGGCTGACATCCATGCCCATATTCCTCTACTTTATATGGGACGCCACCACAGCATGGCTTGACAAGTGGTGCATCAGTGCGTGCCTGGGATCTGAACCTGTGAACCCTGGTCAGCCGAAGTGGAGCGCGTGTACTTAACTGCTGTGCCACCGGGCCGGCCCCTGTTGAATGTTTTTAATGTGAAAAGTGTTGGATTTTGTCAAATGCTTTTTCTATATCTATCGAGATGTCATGTGGTTTTTGTCCTCCATTCTGTTAATGTGATGTATTATATTGATTGATTTTCGTAGGTTAAACCAACTTTGCATTCCTGGGATAAGTCCCACTTGGTAATGATGTACAATCTTTTTTATATGTTTTTAGTATTTTGTTAGGATTTTTGCATCTATATTCAGAGAGACACTGGTCTGTAGTTTTTTTTTCTGGTAATGTCTTTGCTTATCTTTGTTTAAGTTTGGTATCAGGGTACGGCTGGCCTCATAGAATGGTTGGCAAGTATTATCTCTTCTATTTTTTGAAGAATTTGAGAATATTGGTGTTAATTCTTCTTTAAATGTTTGGTAGAATTCATCAGTGAAGCCACCTGGGCCTGGGCTTTTCTTTGTAAGAAGGTTTTGTGTGCTAATTCAATCTCTTTACTTGTTATAGGTCTATTCAGACTTTCTATTTCTTCATGAGTCAATTTCAATAGTTTGTGTTTTTCTAGAAAATTGTCTATTTCATCAAGGTTATCTAATTTGTTGGCTTACAATATTTCATAATATTCCCTTAAAGTTCTTTTAAAATTTTTCTGTGGGGTCAATTGTGATGTCCCCTCTTTCCTTCTTGATTTTAGTAATTTGAGTCTTCTCTCCTTTTATCCTAGGTAGTCTAGCTAAGAATTTGTCAATTTTTTTGATCTTTTCAAAGAACCAACTTTTAGTTTCATTATTTTCTTTTTTTTTTTTTTTTTTTTTTTAAGATTTTATTTATTTAATTTTTTTCCCCCCAAAGCCCCAGTAGATAGTTGTATGTCATAGCTGCACATCCTTCTAGTTGCTGCATGTGGGACTCGGCCCCAGGATGGACGGAGAAGTGGTGCCTCGATGCGCACCCGGGATCCGAACCCGGGCCACCAGCATTGCAGTGCGCACACTTAACCACCAAGCCACAGGGCCGGCCCTAGTTTCATTATTTTCTATATTGTTTTTGTACTTTCTATTTTATTTATTTCCACTCTAGTCTTCATTGTTCCTTCCTTCTGCTTTTGATTATGCTTGCTCTTTTTTTTTTTTTTAATTTTCTTAAGGTGAAAGGTTAAGTTATTGATTTTCTCCTCCTCCTTCTCCTTCTTCTCCTCATCTTCCTCCTCCTCTTTTTCTTAAATAGACTTTATTTGTTAGAACAGTTTTAGGTTCACAGCAAAATTGAGCCAAAAGCATGCAGAGTTCCTATATATCCCTTGTCCCCACATGCACAGCCTCTCCTATTATCAACATCTGGCACCAGAGTGGTACATTTGTTTGCAATCAGTGAACCTACGTTGACATATCATAATCACCCAAAGTCCATAGTTTACATTAGGGTTCACTTTTGGTGTTGTACATTCTATGGTTTTTGACAAATAGGTAATGACATGTATCCGCCACTATTGTGTGGTACAGAATAGTTTCCCTGACCTAAAAATTCTCCACACTCTGCCTATTCATCCTTCTCTCCCTCCTAACCCCTGGCAACCACTGATCTTTTTACTGTCTCCATAGTTTTGCCTTTTCCAGAATGTCACATTGTTGGAATCATACAGGATGTAGCCTTTTCAGATTGGCTTCTTTCACCTAATAATATTCATTTAATGTTCCTCCATGTCTTTTCATAGCTTGATGGCTCATTTTTTTTTTTGAGCTGAATAGTATTCCTTGTATGAATGTACCACAATTTATTCATCAGCTCACCTACTGAAGGACATCTTGGTTGCTTCCAAGTTTTTGAAATTATGAATAAAGCTGTTATAAACATCTGTGTGCAGGTTTTTGTGTGCATATAGGTTTTCAACTCATTTGGGTAAATACCAAGGAGCATGATTGCTGGATTGTATGGTAAGAGCATATTTAGTTTTGTAAGAAACTGTGAAATTGTCTTTTAACATGGCTGTACCATTTTGCATTCCCACCAGTAATGTATGAGAGTTCCTGTTGCTCCACATTCTCACCAGCATTTTGTTTTGGCAGTGTTCTGGATTTTAACCATTTTAATAGGTGTGTAGTGGTATCCTTTCTTCTTTTTTTAACATAGACATTGATGGCTATAAATTTCCTTATAAGCATTGCTTTAACTGTATCAAATAAGTTTTGGTATGTTGTGTTTTTGTTTTCTTTCATCTCAAAGTATTTTCTAATTTCTCTTGTGATTTACTCTTTGACCCATTGGTTATTTAGGAGTATGTTATTCCATTTCTGTATAGTTGTGAATTCTCCAAATTTCCTTCTGTTATTGAATTCTAATTTCATTCCATTATGGTCAGAGAATATAATTTGTATGATTTCAATCTTTTTAAATTTGTTGAGATTTGTTTTATGGTGCAATCCTATTTTTGCGTAGAACTTATTTGATACCTGCTTGACATCTCCACTTGGATACTTAAAGGAACTTAAAAGAAACATGCACAAAATCACACTCATGACATCCCATCCACCAGCCACTCCTCTTCCAGTATTTTCCATCTTAGTGAAGGTGCCACAATCCCATGAATTCTTCTGGTCAGAAACCTAAGATCATCCTTGATATCTCTATCTCCTTTTTTCCATAAATCCAATCCATTATTGAGTCTAGTTGACTTACTTTTATGGGTCTCTTGAATCCATTCACTTCTTTCCATCTCCATGGCCAACACTGTAGGCCAAGCTATCACCACTTCTTACTGAAGCTATAGTAATTTTCCTTAGTCTAAGCTCTCATTATCTTTACAGGAACTACTGAAATTTTCCTATGAACTGGTCCTCTATCTCTACTTTTGCACTCCTCCAATCCATTTTTCACAGTGAAGTCTGTTTCTACTTTGAAAATGTATACATCTTGCCATCCTTCTGCTTATAATCCCATTGCATTAGGAAAAAAACCCCCAAATTTCAACAGGGTCCACAAGGCCTTGTGTGGTCTGGATCCTGTTGATTTCTGTAGCCTCATTTCACCACTTTGCTCTCCCCTCCAGCCACACTGGCCTGCTTTCAATGCCTTGACTGCCCATCCTCCCTCCTGCCACAGGGCCTTTGTACATGCTGTTCCCTCTGCCTGGAACTTTCTTCCTCCCTGTTTCACTTAGGTAAATCCTCTGTATTCTTAGATCTCCTTCAAGCTTCACTTCCTTAAGGAAGTTTTCCACTGGAGCCCTTATCTGGGCCTGTAATTACACATTTGTTAGTGTGGTTCATTGATTAATGTCAGTCTCTTGCAAGCTCTGTGATAAAAGAATCCTGTCTGTATTTGTTTACCATAGTAGCCCTGGCACCTGGCACAGTGCATGGCCAGAGAGGGGCTCAATGAATATTTGTTGAGTACAAAGACCAGCCTGCCTTCCTAGACCCAGCTTCCATCTTGGATCGCCTGTCCGTCCCTGTTTCAGAACAGAATGCAGGCCAGACTCACCGCAGGGTTTCCAGGTGGCAGTGAGGGCATCCCAGGGCCTCACGAAGACTCTGCACTGCAGAAGGGCTCAGGAAGTTTCCACTCAGGTCCAGCTCCTTCAGGCTTCCGGTGACCTGGAGAACGGAGAAGAGAACCTGCCAGCCGGCGTCTGTAATGGGGATCCAGCTGAACCTGAGGGAGGGAGAGGGATAGGAGAGATGTGACCTGTGTGTGCGGGATCTCAGCTGCACAGCCCTACACAACACAGTGGGGCTCTGCCCTCTGAGCGCCAGGCCACCATGGGCAGTGCTGTCCCTAGGACTGCCCAGCCTCCCCTACTGCCCCTGCCACTCTGGGCTAGGTGCCCCTCCTCTCTGTGGCTCCTCGTTCTATAGCCCTTGCCATGTAATACTGAAGTGTTCATTTTGTGTGTCTGTGTCTGCCTCAGCCTGGGAGTTCCTTGAGGGCAGGGGCGGATATTTTCCATCTTTTGTATCTGCGGTGCCCAGCATAGGGCCTGGCACAGAGAAGGAGCGCTGGCATCCAGATTGCCTTCCTCCCTTCAATGCAGACACACCTGTCTTCCTTGCGCACAGACATTCTGGAGTCCCAGTGTCCAGAAAGGAAAAGAGGAGATGGGAGGGGGGAACAGAGCCTGAGATTGGTGGTTTAAGGATGACTTTGTGATGGGAATGTGGTAAATGACCATATATACTGCTGCCTAGTATATTATGCTCTTGTGGGACCCTATCCCCTTCCAAGGTTAGCAAGACCACAGAGAGGGTCCCCAGGAGAGAGATGACAGAGGCGAATGTCCCAGGAGAGAACAGTAGCTGTCTGAGGTGGGGAGGATGATAGGCTTCGTCTGGGAGTGATAGAGGAGGCTTCCTCATGTAATTGCCACCCATTTAAATTCTCCTTCACACACTACTTTAGAAATCTCACCTACTTCGAGGACTTCAATGACTCAAACTCTGTGTCAAGTTCCAGACTGACATCTCTATTTTCTTGCCTGATATCTCCACCTTGACACCCCAGTGGCACCTTGACCTAATATGTCCCAACATGTCCCCAGCTCAATTCATCTTCCCCCCAAGGGTGCAGAGCCCTGCAGAGGCCAGGAGCAGAGGCTCTGAGCCAGCTGCCTGCAGGTGAATTCCGCTTCTCTCTGCCTCGCTCAGTGTCCTCAGCTGCAAAAACAGGCAAGAGCACCCACTGCAGAGGGTTTTGTGAAGATTAAAAGATGTTAGAGGGGCTGGCCCGGTGGCGCAAGTGGTTAAGTGTGTGCGCTCTGCTGCGGTGGCCTGGGGTTCACCGGTTGGGATCCTGGGCGCACACTGACACACCGCTTGTCAAGCCATGCTGTGGTGGCGTCCCATATAAAGTGGAGGAAGATGGGCATGGATGTTAGCCCAGGGCCAGTCTTCCTCAGCAAAAAAAGAGGAGGATTGGCAGATGTTAGCACAGGGCTGATCTTCCTCACAAAAAAAAAAAAAAAAAAGATATTAGAGAGTATCCCAAAAGTCTTAGTGCACTTTTAAGCTTTAACAGCTCCAGATGTATAAATGCTACAAAGGTACCCCAAAACCCCATCATTTGAAAGTTTAATTATTTGAATTTCTTTTACATTTATTTAGTTTTGGGAAATTTGAATAATACATTTTTAAATTTTTTGTTTCCTCAACATTTGCTATCTTTAATCAGAGGGACTGAAAGAGAAAATTAAAAATGTATTATTCAAAATGTACAATGATTAATTACAAGCCAAATACCGGGAAGCCGCCCCTTCTTGCTGTCTCAGGTTGGTCCTTCTCTCCCTTCCCACAGCCTTTGGCCCGTCTGAATCATTTCTTCCTGGGCTTTTTTGTTTGTTTACAGCAGCCTCCGTGCTGTTCTCTCTGCCTTGCCTGGCTGACTCAATGCCCTTAACATCTCCCTCCTCACTGTAGCTGCAGCCTCTGACTTCCCATGGGACTCTCTCCAGGCTCAATTGCCACCGTCCATTCCAAACTCTCTTGCTCTGGCCCAGTGTCGCTGGTTCCTCTTACTTCCCACCTGGCCATGTCTCTGTGCCTGCTCGGGACACTTCTGAAGGTCCCCACGTCACGCCACCACCACTTGCAACACCCGTACCCAGGTCTAAGGCTCAGTTCACATTTATAACCATGAACAACTAACTAGAAACAACCTAAGTATGCAAAATAGAGGAATGGTCACATCAGTCATGGCACCTTCCCTAGGGAATACCACACGGGTCATTCAAAATGATGTATCGGGCTACTTAATAACACAACAAGATAGCCTTGATATAAAAATAAAGAAAGACTGTGGAATAAAATGTACAGTGCGGATCAATTTTGCCGTAGAAATGTGCATAGAGAAAAGACTAGAGGCTACACCTCAATTCTTAATGGTGGTCATCTCTGAGTGATGGAATTCTGGTTGGCATTAATTTTTATCATCTTGCTTGTCTACATATCCTTATTTTTCTATGATGAACATGGGTTTTATTGTGAGAAAAAAACTTTAAAAATCTGAAAATAAAAGACCCCAATCCAACATTTCTTCCTCTGAGACCCTTTCCTTTTCTGGTCCATTGGTGTGGTCAGTCCCTTCCTCCAGCCACCATCGTGTCATGTCCATGCCTCTGTTACCGTGGGCATCACGTTCTCTTGCAATTATTGGATGGATGGCTCTCTTCTCCCCCGGATTCTGAGTTCCCTGAGGGCAGGGATTGTGCTTTGTTAACCTGTGATTTCTAGGGCCTGGTGTAAAATCAGCGCTTAATGAATATTTATGGAATGAATCATCTAAAGGGGGAGATAGACACGTACAGTACTAAATGATCAATACTGTAGCTGAGGTGGGGGAATCTGAATGGAGAAGTCAGCAGCGTTGCTGGGTTGGAGGGTGGTTAGACATAGCTACTGCCATGCTCAGATGGGGGGTTTCAGGCGGAGTGCTCAGGGTAGTAGTGTGTCACTGACACAAACAAGGAAGTCAGTTTTGCAAGGGAAAATAGAGACTCCATTTCAGACACATGCATTCTGAGGTGATGGGGGAGACCTCAGGGCCAATGTCACTGCCAACAGCCATCCAGGGGGTGCCTGAAGCAGCTGAGTGAGCAGTTGCTCAGAGACGAACATGTCAAGAGAGGGAAACAGAGGCAAGTAGGTTGCGTGGAGGGGAACTCAAGTCAGCATTGGGGTGGAGGCGTGCCCAGAAGGCAAGGTGGCGGTGATCACAGAGGCAGGGTGAGAAGCAGTAGTACAAGGCGGGGCCACAGCGGCTCTGCCAGGAAGCAGGCAGGCACGTCTCACAGCTGGACGCTGCTGCAGAGGGCCTTAGGTAGATGGAGAATAGCAGTCAGATTTGGCGGTTAGAAGTCACTGGTGACCTTGATCTTTTAGCCCCCAGGGCCGGGCTTAGTGAGAGTGCCTCCAGTGCCCAGGATGGTGGAACTGACGGAGGAACTGGACAGAGGGGAGGGTGTGTGTACTCACAGAACTACACCGGGGTGCCTCCACGCTTCCCTGTGCAGTCCCCTGTCATTCACTTGAAGCGTCTTCACACGGTGGCAGAATCTAACACAGAAAGTGAACACCAGGACCTCCATGTCAGTTTGCACGTACATCCTTGTTCCTTGGAAATGGGCCATTGCCGCCGTCAGGAAGTCCTTGTCCTGAATCTCATACAAACAGTGGAGCAACTGCAGAGAATATGGCTGCAGGGAGGCCTGCTCTCGCTGGACCTCCGCCTCCACCCATGACAACAGGTCCCACTTCCTCTTTGGAGACAGCTTGCAGTCGAAGATGTTCTCCATCTCTCTCATCCCCTGCTCACTCAAAAGGCCGAATAGGAAACGTGTTGTTGGTGCCCCAAACAGGTCACGCCTCTCATACACTTCTAGCAACTTTTTCATACCGCTGGTGCTGTTAGGATTATCACTTTTCTCCTCCTTATCCTCCAGTGCACAGAACATTGCTGCAAAGAACTCTTGGAAACAGAGGTGACTGAAGCTGTACCTCCGAGGCTTGTGCTGCTTTTGAAGAACACCGCTCTTTAAGAGAGTGGAGATGATGGCCCCATCTAACCCGTGCTGGCTGAGGTCCTCCTGACTGAACAGGGTCTTTCCTCGCCAGATGCCCGCAGCAGCCAGAGAGCAGAAGCCCCTCAGGTGAGTGCCGAGGGGCTGAGCTGGCAGAGCCTGGGAAAGGTATTGCAGATAGAGGGCCGTGGTGGTCTGGGACGTCAGTGAGAGATTTTCCCCCTGCATCATCTGCCGCTTCAGGCAAGTGCGGACCAGCCAGGACACGAAGGGCACAAGACACATGGTCCAGAGTGCTCGGTTTGATTCAACCAAGTTAAAAGCTTGAATTGCTTGGCTTTCATCTGTGAAATACTTGTAGAAATATTCGTAGAAATATTCCTTCCTGGTAGACTCGGAGAAGCCCAGGACCTCCACCCAACGTGGCTGCTCACAAGAAGGAATGAACTTCTGCAGAGCTGTGGTCCGAGCTGTGATCAGCAAGGAGGCATTGGGAAGTATGGTTTTCGCCAGCAAACTGCCCAGTAGTGTGCACACTGGCTGCTGGTGGCTCCAGTGCTGACAATGAGACCCCTGCTCCTCCAAGACCCATTTTGGCTCATCTAAACCATCGAGGATGAAGAGCAGCTGCTCCGGCTGAGACACGATCTGTGTAATGGGAACCATGGAGGAAGCCCGGTCTTTTTTGATGAGATCAGCAAGACTCATTGCCTTGGACTGGTCCAGCTTTGTGCAGTCGAAGTAGAAGATGTGCTGGAAGCGGTCCCTATACAGCCGACCGTCCTTCCAGGCTCCCCTCACATGCCTGGCCAGTGTCGACTTCCCAATTCCAGTCACCCCATGCAGTATGACTGTGTGAGGCTTTCTCTGGGTACCCAGGTGTGGGCCAAATAAGTCTCTGACCTCAATCAAATGTCCTTGCTCCTCTATCACTCCATGATACCAGATTCGCCTGACCAGAGACTCATGGCTTCTGGGGTGAGATCTGTGTAGAATTAGCAGCTGCATGAATTTTTGGTGCAAATCTTCAATTTCCCTTGAGTTTAAGAGGCAGATTATCTCTCTTTTTTCCTTCTGGGATTTTTCTCTGATTCCTAAGGAAGGGAGGGAAGGATGGAACATAAAGGTATAGAAGATTTGTTCATTAGTTCCTTCATTCATTCATTCAACAACTGTTTTATGCACCTACTCCAAGCCACACACTGTATCTTGCCATGTCAGTGGAAGGAACACGGGCTTTGGGGGAGAAGATCCCAGCTCAAGTCATGACTTCTCCAAATCATACTCCTTGTGTGACTTTCCCTCATTTTGCAAATATTAGTCAAGGGCTTACTACGTGCCAGACACTGCTCTAGAGGTGGGAGATAAAGAGTGGACAAAACAGACATGACTCTGCTCTTGTTAAGCCCATGACCTGAGCTACTAGCTCCACTGACCTCAGTTTTCTCATCTGCAAATTGGGGATTGTGACATCTCCTTGTAGGAGGTCATGGAGGAGTGAAGGAGATAATGGATGGTGTAGCAGATACTATTGGTTCCTGACAGTACCCCCTCTGCACGCACCATTGAAGAACATGCCAAAGATGTCCTTCTGCAAGCACCTGTGTTTGTCTGTGTGAAGGCTCTCTCTCAGCCCACAAGTGGGGCGGGCCAGAAACACTGGGAGGTTAATGCTCCAGGAGGAGCCCTCAACCAGCGACAAATGGCAGTACGTTGGCCCCCAGGAGAGACAACTCTGAAGTGTGTTCTACACCGTCTCCTAGAGATCCCCAGCACGTCGAGCCTCAGTTGCTCAGAGGTAACGTGCTCCACAATGCAGGTTACACTGGTTTCCCACCTTCCCTGTCTCACTTCTCCCTCCTTCTGGTGCTTCCAGGGAATCACTTTCCCAGTAAACCACCTGCACTCAAATCCTGTATCAGGGTCTGCTTCTGGGGAACCCACCTGAGACAGATAGGAAAGTGCTTTGTGAACTGTGAGGAGCTGAGCACATGTCAGGGATTGTCCCCCAGGGCCTCGGGCTCATATCTTAGTCAGATTCCAAATAGAATAATTGTTACAACTCCTTCCTTTCTTCCCTTCAGAATATTTTGAGTGCCTCTCACTTCTCTCCTTAGGTGAATTTTGAAGATGATTCAAGTAACTCATCTGGGATCCTGAATCCCAGTTCATCTTGGGAAACCTATTGGACCCCCAGAGTTCAAGGTTACCTGTACTACCTTTGTGGGTGTACTGGGAAAAATCTGGGGGAGAGTGGGGCATGTGGGGTCAATTTATAGCTTCAGCATTGGTGAGATAAATGTGACCGAGGGCCACCCTCAACGCCTGAAATCATGATCTATAGGTCCACTTTTATTGTCTCTTGTGAGAACTTTCTGGCAATTTGAAAATCTTCTAAGAGCATCAGGATGGCCACTCTGAGTCATGGCCCACCCCACTCAGGGTCCCATGTCTGCCTGTGGTGCCAAGAGACAGCTTAGCTCTTCTGGTGCCATGGTCTCCAAAGCATCCTAGTTTTAATGAATCTGTTAGCATGCCACATATCTAAAACTTGAAAAATCCTCCCCCTACCACCAAAACCTCTAACAAGTTACATTTTAATATTGTGCTTTTGACCAGGGATTGGCAAACTCCAGCTAAATCCAGCTGGCCATCTGTTGTACAACCTGTGACTTAAGGATGGTTGTCACATTTTTAAATGGTTGGAAAAAAATCAAAATCAAAAGAAGAATAATACTTTATGACATGTGAAAATTATGTAAAATTCAAAGTTTTGTGTCGTAAACGCAGTTTCATTGTAATACAGCCATGCCTATTTGCTTATGGTAGGTATTATATATTATTTGTTTATGTATTACAGCCTATTTTTATATGGCTGCTTTCAGGCTATGATGGAGAGTTGAATGTTTGCAACAGAGACTGTACTGCCCACAAAGCCTGGACTATTTACTATCTTGTCTTTTACACAAAAAATTTTGCCTATCTTTGCTCTTCATATATCAAAATGCATACCATGTGGTTTTTGTACTGGCTATGAAACTGCTTTCTTGGATATTATTTTGTTCATATTTCGCACTTGAAGAATTTGCTTAGAATTTAGAATCAGGGGAGAGTGGAATCTGTAAGATGGCAGAGAAGGAGATACTAATCTTTGTCCCCTCACAAAAAGCAACAATTAGATGGCTATCCGTGAGCAAAAATAGCCCTGGGAAGGCTCAAGAGTCCAATTAAGAACTTACAGCAATGCAGTGGAGCAAAAATGAAGAATAACTGCACAGAAAGGATTTCTGGGGAGATTGGCTTAGTGGAGACATCTGGAGATAGGTAGGAACAAAGAAGAAGGGTGGGGGCTACCAGTATCAGCCATGTAGCAGGTACCATCATGGTCCCCTACTCTGTGGAGGAACCCAGCAGTCTTTGCTGCAGAGGCTTCAACAGCCCCCACAACAGCCACAGACTGCCCCAGCTTTCATAGAAAAGGGCCCGGAAGTGTTTATTGGTGTCAACCCCAGTGGGCTGCTTTGCAGTGGACACTGGCAGCTTTTGCCACTGAGGTAACCAACAGCCAGTGCCACTATGGACTCCCTAGGGAGGGAGACACTGCTGCGCCCCCTCCAGAAGGAGCTGCCGTTGGGCTGCCCTTGGACCAGTACCCTTTTCCCCCAACTCTATGCACGCCCTGGAGCCCAGAGTCCTGGATACCCCATTTGTGCCTGTGCTTTAGACCCTGGCTCTATAGCCACTCCGTGTGCATCTGCATATCAGACACCAGTGCCATCAACACTGTAAGGGTGCCTGCAAGTTGGATCTAATGCCAAGAGGAATCCCCTCAGCTGTGGTATCCCCTGTGGAAGAAAGAAATATCAAGGGGTCTCCAGCACCTTGGCTCATTGAGGACCCCTGCAATCTTTGCCAACACTGACCTCAGCTGATGGAGCTGCACAAGGACTACACTGGAACCTTCTTTGGAACTAGAACTGCTACACCCCACCCAGCCGGCACCCTTGCATCTACCCACAAGTAAAGGTCTTTCCCCACCAAAACCAGTCTGTAAAGTCCGGAAGAGGTGAATGCTCCATCAAATGCACAGACATCAACGTAAGGCTATAAGAAACACAAAAAATCAAGGACATGACACCACCAAAGGAACACAATAATTTTCCAGTGACTGACCCCAAAGAAATGGAGATTTACAAATTGCTGGACAAATAATTCAAAAGAATTATTCTAAGGAAGCTCAGCTACAAGAGAATGCAGATAGACAACTCAGTGAAATAAGGAAAACAGTACATGAACAAAATGAGAAGTTCAGAACAAGAAGTTCAAAAGGAGAAATCATAAAAAAGAACCAAGCAGAAATTCTGGAACTGAAGAATACAATGAATGAAATGAAAATTGCAATAGAGAGCATCAATATCAGACTTGATCAAGTAGAAGAAAGAATCTGTGACTTTGAAGACAGGTGATTTGAAATTATCCAGTCAGAGGAGAAAAAAGAAGGAAGAATAAAAAAGAGTGAAGAAAGCCTACATGAATTATGGAACTCCATCAAACAAAATAATATTCACGTCATGGGAGTCCCAGAAAGAGAAGAGAGAGAGAAAGGGGAAGAAAGCTTATTTAAAGACACAATGGCTAAACAATGGCTAAATCTGGGGAGAGATATGGACATCCAAGTATATGAAACTCATAGGTCCCTACACAGAGTCAACCCAAAGAGACCTTCACTTATACACATTATAATAAAACGGTCAAAAATCAATCACAAAAATAATATTTTGAAAGACCAAAGAGAAAATGACTAATCACATACAAGGGAACCCCCATAAGGCTATGAGCAGATTTCTCAGAAGAAACTTCACAAGCCAGGAGAAAGTGGGATGATATTTTCAAAGTGCTGAATGAAAAAAACTGTCAACCAAAGTACTTTACCTGGCAAAACTTCAGAAATGAAGGAGCAATAAAGAATTTCCCAGATAAATAAAAGCTGAGGGAGTTTATCACCACTAGACCTGACTTATAAGAAATGCTAAAGGGAGTTCTTCAAGCTGAAATGAAAGGATGCTAATTAGTAACATGAAAACATATGAAAGTATAAAACTCACTGGTAAAGGTAAATATATAGTCAAATTCATTATACTCTGATACTTAATGGTAGCCTGTAAATCACTTAACTGCAGTAGAAACGTTAAAAGACAAAAATATTAAAAATAACTATAGTTACAATAGTTTGTTAATGGATACACAATATAAAAAGATGTAAATTGTGACATCAAAAACATAAAACGTGAGGGGGAAAGTCAAAGGGTAGAGTTTTTGTATGTGATTAAAATTAAGTTGTTATTAGCTTAGAATAGACTGTTATAACTATAAGATGTTTTATGTAAGCTTCATGGTAGCCACAAAGCAAAAACCTATAATAGATACAGAAAAGACAAAGAGAAAGGAATCAAAGCATATGACTATGGAAAATCATCAATTCAAAAAAGCAGACAGAAAGAGAGGAAGAAAGGGATAAAGGAATTATAAAACAGCCAGAAAAATAATTAACGAAATAGCAGTAGTCACTCCTAACCTATCAATAATTACTTTAAATGTAAATGGATTAAATTCTCCAATCACAAGACATAGAGTAGCTGAATGGATAAAACAAACAAACAAAGACCTAACTATATGCTGCCTACAGGAGACTCACTTCAGCTTTAAAGACAGACATAAGCTAAAGTGAAGGGATGGAAAAAGATATTCCATGAAAATGGAAACCAAAAGAAAGCAGGGGTAGCTATAATTACATCAGACAAAACAGACTTTAGGTAAAAAACTGTCCCAAGAGACAAAAACAGGCATTATACAATGATGAAGGGGTCAATTCATCAAGAGGCTATACCAATTGTAAATATATATGCACCCAGCATTGGAGCACCTAAATATATTAAACAAATATTAACAGATCTGAAGACAGAAATAGACAGCAACACAATAATAGTAGGGGACTTCAATACCCCACTTTCAACAATGGATAGATCATCCAGACGGAAAATCAACATGGAAATATTGGACTTGAATTACACTTTAGACTAAATGGACCTAACAGACATATAGAGAACATTCCATCTAATAGTAGCAGAATATACGTTCTTCTCAAGTTCACACAAAACATTCTCCAGTATAGATCATATGTTGGGTCACAAAACAAGTCTTAACAAACTTAAGAAGATTGAAATATATCAAGTACCTTTTCCAACCACAATGGTATGAAACTAGAAATCAGTAACAGGAGGAAAGCAGGAAAATTCACAAATATGTGGAAATTAAACAACATACTACTGGACAATCAATGAGTCAAAGAAGAAATCAAAAGGGAAACAAAAAAAATCTTGAGACAAATGAAAATGGAAACACAACATACCAAAGCATAAGGAATGCAGCTAAATCAGTTCTAAGAGGGAAGTTCATAGTGAGATATGACTACATTAAGAAAAAAGAGAGCTCTAAAGTAAACAGCCTAAATTTACACCTCAAGGAACTAGAAAAAGAGGAACAAATTAAGTCCAAAGTTAGCAGAGGAAGGAAATAACAAAGCTCAGAGCAGAAATAGATGAAACAGAGACTAGAAAAACAATAGAAAAGCCCAATGAAATGAAGAGCTGGTTTTTTGAAGAGATAAACAAAATTGACAAAAATTCAGGTAGACTAAGAAAAAAAGAGAGAAGACTCAAATAAAATAAAAAAGAGGAGACATTACAACCGAAACTACAGAAAAACAAAGGATCATAAGAGACTAATATGAAAAACTATAGGCCAAAAAATTGGATAACCTAGCAGAAATGGATAAACTCCCAGAAACATACAACCTACTAAGACTGAATCATGAAGAAGTAGAAAAACTGAATAGACCTATAACTATTAAGGAGACTGAATCAGTAATTAAATATCTCCCATAAAGGAAAGCCGAGGACCAAATGTCTTCACTGGTGAATTCTATGAAACATTTAAAGAAGAATTAATTACAATCCCTTCTCAAACTCTTCCAACAAATAGAAGAGGGGACACTTCCAAAGTCATTTCTCGAGGCCAGCTTTAACTTGATATCAAACCCAGAGAAGGACACTACAAGAAAAGAAAATTACAGGCCAATATCCCTGATGAACATAGATGTAAAAATCCTCAACAAACCACTAACAAACCAAATTTAACAGCACATTAAAAGGATCATACACCATGATCAAGTGGGATTCATCCCTGGGATACAAGCGTGGTTCAACATACACAAATCCGTAAATGTGATACATCACATTAATGGAATGAAAGATAAAAATCACATGATCATCTCAGATGCAGAAAAGCATTTGGCAAAATACAACATCCTTTCATGATAAAAACTATTAAATTGGGAATAGAAGGAACGTTCTCAACATAATAAAGGTCATATATGACAAACACACAGCTAACATCATACTCAGTTGTGAAAGGTTGAAAGCTTTTCCTTTAAGATAGGAACAAAACAAGGGTGTCCACTCTCATCACTCGCATTCAACACAGTACTAGAAGTCCTAACCAGAGCAATTAGGCGATAAAAAGACATAAAAGGCATCCAAATCAGAAAGGAAAAAGAAAAATTGTCTCTGTTTGCAGATGATGTGATCTTATATATAGAAAACCCTAAAGACTCCACCAAAAAACTGTTAAAACTAATTAATGAATTCAGTAAAGCTGCAGGATACAAAATCAATGTATTAAAATCACTTGCATTTCTTTACATTAATAATGAACTATCTGAAAAAGAAATAAAGAAAACAGTCGCACAATCCCATTCACGATAGCATCAAAAACAATGAAATACTTAGGAATAAATTTAACCAAGGAGGTGAAAGACCTGTACACAGAAAACTATAAGATACTGATGAAAGAAATTGAAGAAGACACAAATAAATGTTATTTATTCATGTTCTTGGATTGGAAGAAATAAATTGTTAAAATGTCAAACTACCCAAAGTGATCTATAGATTCAATACAATCTCTATCAAAATTCCAATGGTGCTTTTCAGAGAAATAGAAAAAACAATCCTAAAATTCTTATGGAAACACAAAAGATCTCAAAAAGCCAAAGCAATCTTGAGATAAAAAGAACAAAGCTGGAGGCATCACACTTCCTGATTTCAAATGTTATTGCAAAGCTATAGTAATCAAAACAGTATGGTATTGGCATAAAAACAGACACATAGACAAATGGAACAGAATCGAGAGCCCAGAAATAAACCCACACGTATGGTCAACTGTTTGACTCGGTATTTGACAAGCGAGCCAAGAATACTGAATGGGGAAAGGATGCTTTCTTTAATAAATGGTGTTGGGATATCCACATGCAAAAGAACGAAACTGGACCTCTATCTTACACCACTCACAAAAATTAACTCAAAATGGATTGAAGACTTAAACGTAAGCTCTGAAACCATAAAACTCCTAGAAGAAAACATGGGGAAAAAGCGCCTTATCATTGGTTTTGACAATGACTTTTTTGGATGTGATGCCAAAAGCACAAACACCGAAAGCAAAAATAAACAAGTGGGACTACATCAAACTAAAAAGCCTCTGCACAACAAAGGAAATGATCAACAAAATGAAAAGACAACCTACGGAATGGGAGAAAATATTTGTAAACCATATATCAGATATGGGGTTAATATCTAAAATATACAAGGAACTCATACAACTCAATAGTAAAAAAACCCCAAATAATCCAATTAAAAAATGGGCAAAGGACCTGAATAGACAGTTTTACAAAGAAGACATACAAATGGCCGACAGGTACATGAAAAGGTGCTCGACATCACTAATCATCAGGGAAATGCAAATCAAAACCACAGTGAGATATCACCTCACACCTGTCTGGAAGGCTATTATCAAAAAGACAAGCGATAACAAATGCTGGTGAGGGGGTGGAGAAAAGGGAATTCTTGTGCACTGTTGGTGAAAATGTAAACTGGTGCAGCCACTATGGAAAAAAGTATGGAGGTTCCTCAAAAAATTAAAAATAAAAACTACCATATGATCCAGCAATCCCACTTCTGGGTATGTAGAGATATCTGTACCCCCATATTCATTGCAGCATTATTCACAATAGCCGCGATATGGAAACAACCTAAATATCTATCAATGGATAAACGGATAAAGAAGATGTGGTGCAGATTTACAATGGAATATATTTCAGCCATAACAATGAAGGAAATCCTGCCATTTGTCATAACATGGAAGAGCCTGGAGGGCATTATGCTAAGTGAAATAAGCCGGGCAGAGAAAGACAAATACTGTATAGTATCACTTATATGTGGAATCTAAAATAAATAATAAAAAAAAAAACCAACCAAAATTTAAACATAGAAACAGAGGAATGTTGGTTGCCAGGGCCTGGGGTGGGTAGAGAAAATGGGGAGATGTTGGTCAAAGGGTACAAATTTTCAGTCATAAGATACATAAGTTTTGAGCATCTAATGTACAGCATAGTGACTACAATTAGTAATACTGTGTTGTATGTTTGCAATTTGCTTAGATAGTAAATCTTAAGCATTCTCACCACACACACACACACACACACACACACAGATATGCGAGGTGATGGATGTGTGAATTAATTTGATTGTAGTAATCATTTCACAACGTATATGTATATCAAATCATCATATTGTACTCTTTGAACATAATACAATTTTATTTGTCAATTATACCTCAAATCTGGAAAAAAACAAACAAAAAAGAATTTAGAATCAGGGAAAAACGTATTTCTCTTGAATTGGTATTTTCTTTTCTAAAGAGTAATACGTATCACGTAACCCATTATATTTCCCTTTTGGCCCTGGTTGCTAGGATGCTCAGAATTAATGGATGTTTAATCATAGCAACTAACTAGTCCTCATGACTTTCATATTTACTTTTTCAATTTTAATGTTCTTGCATTTGTCTATTTCTGTAAGATGCCTCTTACAACTTACGTAAATCTTTCTTCTTTCCTTTCTTCCTTTTCTGAAAGGAAGGTATAGTGTGACTAATTAAGCCAATTGATTCATTTTGAGCCTGGACTGCATTTTAGAACCATGAATTCTATAAATTTACTCCTATCTGGTTGCAGGAAAAATCCTTTAAACTTAACATCTCTCCGATTTCAAAGGAGGCATCTCTTAGCATTGGGATCAGTGCTAAGGAGGTGCCTTAGCAGAGGCTAAGACCAGGGCATCAGGAGCCTGTGTCCCCGTGACTGTCCTTGTTGCCCGAGGGGCAGAGGGAGTAGGCTGTAGGGGTTAAAGGTGGGGATTATGGCATCAGAGAGAGCAAAGGTTGAATTCCATCTCTGCCACTACTAACTGAAATTTTACCTTTTTGATCCTGTTTCCTCATCTCCAAGGTGGGATAATAACAATATCCATCTCATGGAGCGGTGGTGAAATTTCAGTAGACTGTGCAGGTGAAGCACTGGGCCCAGAGCCTGACACAGAGAGTGTCCGGCAAACCGGTACATCCACGTGACTTGCTCTAGGTCACGTGGAGAGTGAGAAGCTCAGTGGAAAACAAATCTTTCTCTTCTGACCCCAGACCAGTGCGCTGTCCACTAAACCAGGTGATGTGTTTTCTGTTCTGGATAATGCACCTGCATTTTAATTTCCATGGGCTTCCCTGAAACAGTGCCTTAACCAGATGGAGAGAGTCCAGACAGGATTTCTGGAGAGATGTTTTGGATGTTTGCGAAACCCTCTGTGCTCAGCCTGCCAACCTGGTCCCCATCCACGTCTCTGCCTCACCCAGCCCTCTCCAGAAGCTCGGCAGGGCCTCACCTGTGTGGTATTTTCCAGATGTTTCAGCTGGAGGCCACACAGTCCCAGGAGCCTCCCGCTGTCTGCACCCTGGGCTGGGCTGCAATGGGCGTTCCCAGCCCCCTAGCACCGCTGTGGACGTGGGGGCATTGGGTGACTTGTGGCTTGGTGACTCGTAGTCTGGGGAGACTGGAAAAGCTCCGAAAGAGAGTGAGGGTGAGTCTCCTGGGGGGAATGACAGGAAAGCAATTACCATTTACTGAGCATCCATTTGATTTCAGGCTCATACATTTCGAACTCTTAGAACAATCTTGTGAGAAGGGCGTTGGTAATCCAATTTTTAAAATCATAAAGATGGAGATACAACTTTATTCTCTCAGTGGGTGGTCTGAAACTTCCTCTTGGTGAAAACTTCCTCTCTTAGGTAGGAAGATTTTGCTAAGCCACTTGGGGGAGTAAACTCCCCATTTCAAGTAACAACAAATAGTTACTAAGTGGCCTTCTAAGGAGGTGGGTCCTTTGTATCGCCAGGCATTGAAACTCGAGGCATGCGAGTTGTGAGTAGAGCAGAACTGCTCCACGTCATCGACAAAGGAAGAGCCCGTGAGACTGGGCGCTGCAAGGATGAAGAGCAAGAGAGAAGAATGCTGGTGGGCGCACAAGAGGGGACTTTTGTGGGGAGAGAGATGTGAACGGTCTGACCCTCTCTTCCTACAGTATCCTCAGTAGAGTCTATATCATGACCTTGGACTTCCGTGCAAATGGATTTTTTAGTGGGGAGTTCAGAGACATGCAAACTGTGTACTGTGGAGTGGGACGTGGTGTGCAGAGTGAAAACTGAGTAGCATGAAGGCTCACAGAGGAAACTGAGACACAGGGATGAAGCAACTGGTTTCATGTCACACAGCAAGCAGGTGAAAGGGTGAAAACCGAGGGCAAGGGAACCTGAGCTGTGACCATCACTGCCAGGGCTTGCGAGGGGGAGGGGTGAGAGTGGGCACAGAAGGAAGGGAAAGAGAAAAGGGGGACAGGGAAGCTGGGGGTGGGACCGTCACAAAGCAGCAGCGGGGGGAGGGAGAAATCACTGCACCAGGAATGGCTGGTGCTAGGCTCCAGCCTTGGCTCTGTCTCCAAGTGCTGTGTGAGCGTGGATTTTGTGCTGGGATGAGAAGAGGAAGAGGCAAGGGGGTAGCTGTGGGTGACTCAGGATGGTGGAAGCAGAAATAAGAGAATTCAAGAGAGGAAACTGGCTTGGGCTGAGGAATGAGCCTACCCTCTTCTTGGGGTTCATCTGGAGAACAGAGTCCTCCTTGGAACTTTCTGGACCACCCTGATCCCAAGGATCTTCAGCGTCCACCGAGACTATGAGCTGCGCTCTGCCTGGGTGAGGACCATGTCTCACAAGGCACCCTGTTGGGTAAGACTCACTGCCTGGCATGTGTGGGTCTCAGTTTCCCCATCTGTCAAATCGGAGGGGGTGTACTTTCAGCACTGGAATGTTCTTGAAAGAGCATTTCCAGGCCTACTGCTCCCTCTGCCCCATGCTGGTTCCTCCATCCTTCTTCTGTAGCCCCCCTGCCCAGGTCCCCATGCAGCTATAGGCCCACCCAGCCTGCCAGCTGCCTCGCAGCCCCTCCCGGGGCCCTCGGGCCAGCTCAGCGAGCCTCACCTTTCCAGGTGTGTCCACGTGTGTCAATCAGGTGTCTCAAATTCTTTTTCTCTGAGTCCTGGAGGAGCTTCAAGGGTTTAGGGCCTTGGAACCTCACCACCGCGGTAGAGGTGGGCCGGGTAGGGGACTCCAGGTTGGGTGCATGTGGGGAGAGGGTGAATGAGGGAGACTGGGCTGTGGAAAGCAGACAAAGAGGTTGGGGGCTTGCGAGAGGGGAGGGGCAGGAGCCAGGGGACTGAGGCTGGGCTTCTGCACATGAAGCAGAAGAACCAAGAGAGGTCAGGAGAAACCAGTGGACCCACTGCAGCCCGCCCCAACCTCTCCAGAGGGTCATTGGAGACTGATGCCTTGACGCTGCCAGGCAAAACGTCCTGATCTGGGGTCCGGGAAATTTGCATCTCTGCCCCGGTTCTGTCTCTAACTCCCCACGTAAGTCACGACTCCTCTCAGGGCCTCAGCTCTCCCACGTGGGCCTAAGAGCCTCTGCCTCCCAGGGCTGTTGATGGTGACAACAACAGCAGCAGCAGCAACAGTAGCAACAGAGTTCCGAAGTACTGAGCACTTGCTAGATGTTAGACTCTGTGCTAAACGTTTCCCCCGGATGGTCTCTTGAACTCGCACAGTCCGTGGAGTCAGGCACTTACTCCCCCATCTTACAGGCGGAGAAGCAGAGGTGGAGAGCAGTGAGGCCGCTTGCCCAGTGTGGTAGTGCGGGGACCGACTCCCAAGTCTGTGCTGGTAACACAAGGCCAGGCAAGTGCCCGCTTGGGAGCTGGGCGTGAAACCCATACCTCTCCTTCCCAGTGCCCTTCTGAATGTCAGCCTCCCTCTCTGGCCCTCTGAGCACTCTCTCCCAGGCGCTGTGAGGTCCTGGGAATGCACTTGGCTACAAGAGGGGCCCAGCAAGCCCCCTCAGTGAGCCTCTTAGCTCCAGCCTAGTCTGAGCATGGATCCCCTCATTGACAGAGCTGTCCCAAGTCACTGCCCAGAGGACGGTCTGGGAGCGGGGTTCAGTGGTGGGGGGCTAGGAGATTGACAGCAGGCAGAGGGTGCTTTGTCTGCTCACCTGACATCAAGGCTGCCTCTGTGCGGGCCTGGGTGCACAGCCTGCTCAGGCCCATCTGCTCCCAGGTGCGGAGGGCCAGGTCCCAGGCCTGCTGCTCCCCGTACTGAGCCACCAGGCACGAGGCCACCTCCTTGCCACTGGCCTTCTCTGGTTGAGCCAGGGCCGCACCGGGAGAGTGCCCGCTGAGTTCCTTATCACGCAGCCGAAGCTGGAACTCCATCAGTTCCTCCTTCCTCATTATGTCCAAGTACCAGGCCAGCCGCAACTGCGCGCCACCGGCCATCTCTGCCCTGGCTAGGCGACCTTGGGGATGTTCACAGGGGAGGGGGTGGGTGGTGAGGGGCATTAGGCAGGCAGAGAATAGTGGCCTCCCTTGACCCCTACCTCTCCCAACACAAGAATCTCACTGGGATCATTCCTCTTAGCCTGGTAAACTCCTATTCAGCATTCAGAACCCAGTTTTGTAAACCCTGGAGCATCTGCCTATAGATGGTGTTGGGAGAAGGGAAGGGAAGGGGAGTGGTAGGAAAAGCTACAGGAAGGAGGAGCCCAGAGAGGGCTGGGAGATGCTGGAAGAGGTCAGGTTACTTGGAGGTGCTGCAGTGGGCATCATGAGTGAAGGGGCAGGGATGGAGGCTGGGGTGTTGGGACACTCACTGTTCCGTGCTCCTACGAGTCCTCCCTCTCCTGGGACTTCCGGGACCAGGCCTTGAGCTGCGACGCTGACAGGAGGAGGAGTGAGGGGAGAGGCAGAGCAGAGGGTGGGCTTTCGAAGCCCAGGGTGGAGCTCAGGGCTGCCCACTCCCAGGCCTCAGACCTCTCCTGGCCCTGGGACACCGACTAGGGAGAACAGCTCTGGCTTAGCCAGGGCAGGAATAAGAGTCACCCAGAGAAAACCACATGGGGGTGTGGCCAGGGGAGGGAGGGGCCGACAGGCCTGGGCAGAGCGGGGACTCAGAGCCAGACACCTAGACAGGCGGCATCCACAGGCAGGCCAGGGCCTGGGCTTGGGCAGGCTGCTGTGCCAGGCACAGACCCACAGGATCTATAGCTGCACGTGTCTCCACATGAGCGCCCACCAGCCCACCCCCCAAGAGCCTGCCTGCAGAGTGGGAGCAGCCTCTCCAGGCAGGTGGGTGTGGGGTCTGGCCTGGCTCTCAGGATGGGTGGGGGCCCCTGAGTCTGCCAACTCCCTGCTCCCTGCCAAGTTAGGGAGTATCTTTTCCAGCTTCTTCTGGTTTTTGGGGCTGCCTGAGCCCCACTGCATATCCTGCCACTCTACGGGGGGCACCAGGCTGTGTGTTCCAGGCCCAAGGGGCTGTTTGCTTTGTGGGCTGCTCAGCGCTCAGCTAGTAAACATTCTCTGAAAGAGGAACAGCCTCTGCCTCCTGGCCGCAAAGCCAGGCCTCTGGGCAGCTAGGCAGAGGCTTTCTTCCTCTTTTGCAGAATTGGCAGAGGCCAAGGACTCTAGGCGGGGGAGTGGCCTTCCTTAACTCATTTCCTGTTGTGTAATAGCTTCTGGAGTTGTTTTGATTTGACCTGGACTGGAGGATCCCAGGCCTAAGGAGCTTCAGCCCACTGTTCACCTGGACGCTGGGTCCTTGTGTGGCGGATTCATTTTTCTGAGCCTCAGTTTGATCGTCTATTAAATGGGACATTGTAGGTTTGCAAAGGGCCTCAAATTAAGCATTGTTCTTAGTAACCTTTAAAATGTTATATATATATATATTTTTTAATGGCCAGTAAGCACACTGGAGGACATTCTAACAGCCAGACTTACCAGGAGCGGAAAGTGCTGCCCTAAAAGGTGGTATGATCAGAGGGATTTGAGCCCTCCACGAAGGACCCTGAGATCCCGTGAGGTGGGAGGTGTGGCCTAGAAGGGGGATGTGGGGGTTTTTTTCCTCCTGACACCAACTCTCCGGACACCAGCAGGGTACCCTACAACTGAATTCAATTCTGACAGGAACTCCCCGGAGTTAGTGCAGACCCCACAGGTGGAGGGGCTCAGTCCCATGAGACTGCTCCCCACTTCAGATGCCAGTTGCAAATGGGGTGCCCAGGTTACCCACCTTTCTATCTAACTTGGTGACAAATTCAGAGGTTCCCATGAAACCCCCTCAGGTTCAATAATTTGCTAGAACCACTCACAAGACTCAGGAAAACACTTTACTTACTGGTTATTGTAAAGGATACAACTCGGGAACTGCCAGACGGAAGAGTTGCACAGGGCAAGGTTTAGAGGCTTTTATGGAGGGTTCGTTACAGAGGCGTGGTTGATTAAACCATGGGCCTTGGTGATTAACTTACTCTCCAGCTCCTCTCCCTGGAGGTTGAGGTTGTGCCTTGGTTTTTCTGGCCACCAGCCCCGTTGTGAAGGTCCCTAGGGGCCCCTGGCCACCAGTCATCTCACTAGCGTACAAAAGACTCTCTTCTCACTCCAGAGATCTCAAGTTGTGTGCCAGGAACTGGGGACAGAAACCAAACGTTTATTTTTGATTATATCACCAGGGGCCCCTAGAATTCTGGGTAATATGGGAGACCCCAGGTCTTGGAGGCCAATGCCAGGCAGAGAGAGGCTGATAGAACAGAACAGTAGCAGAGAAAGGTGCTCCCCCAGTACCGGTCTCCAGCCAAGCAAAATTTGTGGTGCCCAGTCACCAGTCCCCGTCTCTCCTGGGGCGTGTCTGACCTGTGGACGTGAGCATGTGAGCTTCAGGGGCCCTAAGCTATCAGACATGGAGTTTGGGAACCCTGGACTAATCATTGAATTTGGGGCATGCCAAGAAGGCCAGTGGAAGGGGGTGTGGAGGCCCAGAGAAGCAAGTGGATGTGCTCAGATCACATAGCAGGTCAGTGGCTAAGCTGGGGCTGGGAGCCACATCTCTGGATACCCAGGCCAAGGATTTTTCCTCTTCCAGTTCATTCTATTTAATTCTAGGTCAGCAGGGTTTGGAGGAAAGGACACGGGGTTTGGAGTCAGAAGGCCCAGCTCTGCCCCTAGCGGTTTTATAATCTTGGACAAGTTACTTAACTTGCCGGGCCTCAGTGTCTACATCTGTAAAATGGGGTAATAATGCCTGCTTCATAGGGTCTAAAACCAAATAATGCACATGAATGCAGTCAGCACAGTTGCTGGAGCACTTGGTCGGTGCTTGATACAAGTTCACCTCTCCTTTTTTCTTCTTATTTCGCCTGCCATAATCCTACTCATTTTTTTTCTACTCATTTTTTAAGGGCCAACACAAATAGCACTTCTCCCATGAAGACTTTTCTGCTTCAATCTTTCACCCTAGAGTTCATTTAGCATATCCCAGGATGCCTTGCAGTTCAGCCATCTGAATGGCTGGGTAGTGCCATGGGAAGTGCAGGGGAGGTCTGGGTTCCGAGGCTGGCTCTGCTACCAGTTGACTGTGACCTTGGGCAACACCTGCCTCTGTCTCTTGTCTGTAAAGTGAGGAAATGACAGCCAAGTCCCAAAGCACCTGTGACGGTTAAATGAATAAATATGAATGTGCCTAGCGCAGGACCTGGGACATAGCGGAGGGTCAGAAAACCCCGTTACCTTCTCCTTCTTCTTAAGATCGTGGGTTCCTTGAAGACAGGTAACTGAGTCTTGTCTTTTTTGTATCTAGAAAAGTACCTCAATGCTTTGCCTGGCATTGGTGTTCAGATAATATAGTTGGTGCAGAAGTAATTTAAAATATTACTTTTATTTAATGTTAATTTCCAAGTGTGGCATGAATACAGTTCCATCATGAAAACTGCAAGCAATACAAACATTGCTCCACAGAGGTTACCACTGTTCCGAGTATGTTCTGTGACCTTCCAGACAGACAGACACACAGACACACTCCTTTATAAAATATACAGCTTTGTTTTGTAACACAATGTATGTTTTATTCTATAACATGCCTAATTTTTGTGTTACATAGTGTTTGATGCATATAGAAGAACGCTGCAGGGAACGTCCTCGCATGTGCCTTCTGGGATAATGCTGATGTCTCCTGGGATTCAGGCCTAGAAGCAGAACCCAGAGGTTATGCACCTTTTACACCTTAGTCAAAACCATCAAACCACCTTCCAAATGACCGTGACCATATTCCCGTCCAGCCGCTAGGGGCGCACCGCTCCCCCCCACCCTTGCGGACAGGGAGGAAGTGTAATTTACCTGTGCCGATCTCCCACGTGGGGAAAGGAGGCTTCCTGTTGTTGGAACCTGGATTTCCCTGATGACGAGGGAGCTAGAGCTGAACGTGGCGGGGATTTGATTGCGGATGGTGTACTAGATGCTCGGAGCCCCAGGCTTTCTTCCCAGACCCCTCCTCTTCTCCAGCCGAGCGCACTCCCCTCGCGGCCTCATCCAGACTTTAAATGCCCTCCATGGATGGATGACTCCCACGTTTGTATCTCCAGCCCCAATCATTCCTCTGGATTCCAGAGCCTTATCCAGCAGCCTCCTCCACCTCTTCACTTGGGCGAATCACAGTGTCCCCAACTGAACACCCCGATTGGAGCCCCCGATTTCACTCTCTCCCCTCCAGCCTTCCCTGCTCACAGGCTCTTCATTTCAGGAAATGACTGCTCGGCCCCAAAACATTGGGGTCATCTTTGACCCCTCTCTTTCTCTCAAACCTCACATCCAATCTGTCATCAAGTCCCGCTGATGCTGTCTTTTAAATAGATCTGGAACCTGATTCTTCTCACCATGCCCACTCATACCACCCCGATCCAGCCCGCCATCATCTTGTACCCAGATCACTGCCATCGCCTCCTAACTGCTCCCCGTGACCCTAACGGTGCCCCTTTACTGTCTATTCTCAGTCCAGCAGCCAGAATTACCCATTTAAAACATAACTCAGGTCAGGTCACTTCTCTGCTCAAAATCTTCCAAGACACCCCATTTCACTCTGAGTAAAAGCCAAAGTCCTCCCAATGGCTCATGAGGCCCTGTATAATCTGGCCCCTGATATCTCCTACCTCTGTCTCCCTCCCTCTCTCCCTCTGCTCCGGCCCCTCTAGTCTCCTTTCTGTTCCTGAACCCGCCAAGAATACTCTCACCTCAGGGCCTTGGCACTGGCTTGTCCATCCTCTTGGAGTGATTTTCCCCAGATAGCCAGAAGGCTTGTTACCTCGTCTCCTAGAAAGCAGCAGCCCCGCATCCTCTAGACCCTTACCGTTTTATTTTTCTGCCCAGCACTTTCCACCACCTGACCTTATAGATTTATTGATTTGTTTACTTTCTGTCACCCCCATGTGCCAATAGAATGTTAGGCTCCTGAGGACAGAGGCTTACACTATTTTGTTCACTGTGGTGCTGCTCGTGCCTCAAACAGTGCCTGGCCCACAATATTAGCTCAATAAAAGCTGCATACATTGAATACCTTTTCAACTATTTCCTTTTTATCCTTGTAAACAGCTACTCACTGTGGCCACTAGATGGCACCCAAGTACTTTCTGTGCATTGAAACAGCATTGTCAGTTTGGTCAACAGAGGACCCTTAGGTGCTCTCCCTCTGAGGTCTGAAATTTTAAAGTTATGTTTCTGGTGCTTGGGGTCTTTGCTCCCTTCCTGATGCTTCAGGGCCCCTTAGGAGTA